AGAGAGAGAGAGAGAGAGAGAGAGAGAGAGAGAGAGAGAGTGTTGTGTGGTCGAATGCAGTGAATTATGTACGGTATAACGGTCTACTTGATTGTCGTCTCCGTTGTCAGGTAGGCGGATCAAGAGCCGGCGCAATTTGCATCTGTTTGCGAATTCTCGCCACCGCCCCTCTTTCGGTGGCTCATCAGAGAGCGATGTATATCGTTCCTCTTTCACGCCCGCGTACCATCCGATCGCCTTTTTACACAGCCGGATCGTCATTACGTCCTCGAGCGCACCGTCCGATACGCCGCCTTTTTGTCGCGCGGAATTATTAAACCGACAATTCCGAAAAGACAGAGCGCAATCGATGGCAGGATTTCCAGCCGCTGCATTTGCGAGATAAATCCTTCCAGTCTAAGTGTTTCTGTCTTTTACTCCCTCCGCATTATCGCAGCTTTTCAACGAGATCATTACTTTGCTGCAAAAAAATAATAATTTCGGCACTTGAGGAAACACCTGGAGACCCGAGGTGTCTGGTTTACGAGGTGCTTAGCGACGCTCCTCGGGGATTATTCGCGCTCTGCAAAGAGGAAATAAAGTCGATAATAGGTGATGATATATGGTTCCCGGAAATTCGCAATACGACGAAATCCCGAGTCGCAATAACGTTCGATTCGTTCCGTGAGATCGCAATATTCAGCCAAATCCGGTCTTTCCTCTACTCTTCCTTTCTCTTATTTTTAATGCGAACAGGACAGTGGGTCCATGGCACTTCTCAATGATGTCTATCGATGTTTATTATCGTTTTGTTTACAGAGAACAGACGGATTTTCCGTCGTAACCAACGTGACGCTGCGTTGGGGGTCCCCGTCAGCGGGGTACCGGTGGACACAGTTCCTTTAAAAACAAGCTCCTAAATGTCTTTGTGTCCACCTTCGTACTCCGTTCAAATTCTTCGTGAACCAAATTCCCTTTGACTTCGTTTTCTCATGGTAGATGCCGTCAAAACTATCACCCGGCGATTGTCGCCTACGCGGTTGCCTACCAGCACCGTAGGATACCATCGAATTTTCACGGACCCGTCAACGTGAAAAAGCGCTTTGCTTCTGGATAAAGATGTAGCTCCCTTCCACTACATACACGTGATGAAAAGAAGCTACGGGCTTGCGGTCGGTCGTTGTTTGAAGTGGTATAACAATAAGGGCAGAGAGAGAAAGAGGGCGAGTCGCCGCTGAGAATTCGCATAAATTTCAGAAAAATGTCAGACGCAGAATAAAGAAATATATGTATTATGACTTACGAAAACTCTATCTTTAATATATTTTATCTTATAATAACTCTCTTTAATAATTGAAGACAAAATTTTACACTGGTATAAGTTTTTTCTTTAGGTTTACAAGTTTCAGAAAATATGAAGAATGTTCGGAGGAAAGAGAAAAAGAGAGGAAAGAGAGAAAGAGAAGAGAAGAGAGAGAGAGAGAGAGAGAGAGAGAGAGAGAGAGAGAGAGAG